TAAGGAATTATTAGTAAAGTAATAATGTTGGTGATTATATTGAGCCAGAATTTCAGCTTTAACTGCTGCGTCAGATAATTTGGTTAATTAAATTTGATTTGCAAATTTGATAGCCACTTGGGCAGCTAATTAGAGTTTGCAGAAAATTCGAGTAGCGCCTCGCACGTAACATGCAATTACAGGACAATTGTGGAGAACCAGAATTAATAGATAGCAACCGAAAATGAGCAAAAATAGAATTGAAATTCAAGACCGCAAGCCATAAAAATAAGTCAGTCACAATTTGGGGACAGCTGATAGGGCCAAGAAGATAAGCCACTCGACGCGAACCTGATGACAACTTGGCTCGCAGCTCAGCCAAGCGACAGTCAGATTTATTCATTTCTTTTTTTTTTAATAAGTTGAGCAAAAATGTGACATTTGTCGGTTGCCAAGCGAAAAGTGAAATGACTGAATATTCATAATGATGATGATGCTGATGCTGCTGAGTTGCTGCTGTTGATTTTGCTGATGTGCCCCTGTGGCAACTGTTTTCATTCATGTTTGACTGTCGCTGCATTAAAGTTGATTTAACCTAATTGAGAAGTCAAAGTCGCTTGGCATTGGCCGGAAATCGAGTTGTAGTCTCAGCAAACACTGCTTAAAAGCCAGCCCGCACCTTGTTTGTGCCCGCCAAAGCGAATTAATCACTCTGCCGCTTATCTATACAGCCCCCAACTGAGCCCCAACCAGCTCCAACTCAGCCAGCTTAGCCACAAACTCGACCCAAAACTGGCAACTTTGGACGCTCCCATATCCGCTATTCGTTTTTATGAATTTTCAGGTCGCTTTACGTTTAAAGTTAAAGCCTTAAACTTTATCGATAAAATTTCCCATTCAAAATGGCGAGCGCTCAAAAGTAGGCAACACTTTTTGCCATTGCCATTGATAATGCAAATTTCACACGAATTTTACATTTATTTGCAACAATCAAATAAATTCTATAAATATACAATAGATACATACATACATACATATATAAATAGTTAGATATATTTACATGCCTAAATCTATAATAATTGGTCAATGTACAAGGGCAACAAATGAATTTACAATTGATTTGTTTTTGTTTAAAGTCTTAAGCGCGAAATCTTATTGTAAACACTAGAATAAAACTATTTTGATTAGCTTAAAGCCGACGGACAGCGGCCTAAACGACTAGACATGAAAAACACATTAAATTCCATTCATTTTATGCAACAACAAAAACAAGCTTCATGAAACTAAAAGTCATCTAGCTTGTGTTGGGCCGTTCCTGAAATCGTTTTCGTTTGCGCCAAAGCAATTTGGCCAAGTTTATAGTGTCAACTCTCTGGAGAGCCTTTAAGTGCTGATTTGGTTAGCGTTTTCGTTGTGTTTGAGATTTTCTTTGGTTTTTCTTTACATATGTTTTAGTTTAGATTAAAATAATTTCAGTTACGCTAAGAGACAAACTTTATATATACATTTTTTTTTTTATATAATATTTCGTTTCTCATTCTGTAACAATCACACGAGCTTGTAACTTATCCACATTAAAAAACTTTAAACAAGAGCTTAGCTTAAGTACAAGCTTTTCACCAGC